CACTAGGCGGTCAATTCTGGGGAGGGGGAAGCAATCTTTCGGGCAAGCTTGGTTCAGGTCGGTGTAGTCGACGCACATGCGCCACTTGTCGTTTGCCTTTTTTACCAGCACTGGGTTGGCTACCCAGTTCGGGTAATGAACTTCCCTTATGAAATCTGCTACGAGGAGCTTTTCGACCTCCTTGTCGACCGCCCTCTAGCGCTCTGGGTCTAAGTTGCGTTTCTTCTGTCTTATGGGTCTGACTACAGGGTCAGTATTAAGTCTGTGAGTTATAAGGCTGGGGTCAATACCGGGCATATCGGCCGCAGACCATGCAAAAATATCTAAATTTTGAAGTAACAAACTCACCAGTTTGGTTCGTAGAGGTTCCTGGACGGAAGCACCGATCTGTAGTGTCCGAGCCGGGTCCGCAGTTGAAGTTGGGATTGCGACCGTTTCTTCTGTGGGCGAAGCTCGTTCTTCGCCTTGCTCCGTAGGCTGCTCCAGTTCGAGGTCGTCGGCCACCTTGGTTTTTCCCTTCAGGGCGGAAACATAGCACTTGCGAGACTCAAGCTGGTCGCCTCGTGCTACCCCCACACCGAAGTCTGTAGGAAACTCCATTGCCAAGTAGTAGGTGGCGACCATTGCCCGTAGGACATGAGTGATTGGCCGCCCTATTATGGCATTGTATGGGGTGGGGGTCGCGACCACCAAGAAATCGTGGTTGAGTTTGACCGCACAAGGCCATGTGCCGACTTCCACAGGTACTGTTATTTTCCCGAGGGGCCTGACTTCCTCTTCGCTGAAGCCCACCAGAGGAGTGTTTGCAGGCTTCAACTCGCTTCTCTACAACTGAAGCTGGTCAAACGCCGACTTGAAGAAAATGTTCGTCGAGCTGCCTGAATCAACAAGTACGCGCCTGACTTCGAAGTCGCTGATCCTTAGTTTTATGACAAGTGCATCATCGTGGGGGTAGTGGACCCCTCGCGCATCATCTTCCGTGAAGAAAATCGGTTCCTTCGTCTTCAACCTCTTCGGAGGGTTCTGTTCTTCTTGGGCAGTTTCGCGAACTGACGCCCGGGCCGCTGCCGAAGTACAACCCGCTACCACCGAACCTCCCACTATCACGTGGATGGTTCCTCGAACTGGCCTCTCTTCCGGGGGCTGTCTTTGCAACGGTTCGGCCGACCTGCTGCTGGACTCAGGGGTATCCTTACCGTGCTCCCCTTGCCGACCTGTCTTATTATTATTATTATTATTATTATTATTATTATTATTATTATTATTATTATTATTATTATTATTATTATTATTATTATTATTATTATTATTATTATTATTATTATTATTATTATTATTATTATGTTGTACAAAATTTCTCAAGTACCCGCGACGGATGAGTCCCTCTATCTCGTCCCAGAGATTATTACAATGTTCGGTACTATGACCGTGGTCTCTATGGAAACTGCAGTACAAGTTTTTGTTCCTCTCGTTTGGGTTCCCCTTTAGGCGAGGTGGCTATTTTATGTGCGGGGTGTCTTTGATCGTCATCAAGATCTCAGCCCGCTTCGCGTTTAAGGGTGTGTAGTCCGTCCGAGCTGCTAAGGGAGCTCGAAACGGCTGGCTCGGCATTGTCTCCCGGGCTGGATCTTTCCTTCTTCTGTCATCTGGGTTGGAGGGCTCGCCTTCCCTCTTCATTTTCTCGATCCCGCTTTCGGTCCATTGGTTGATCTCCTCCTCTGTTCTCATGAATTTATCCGTGAGCTCGAGGAATTCAGCTACGGTCGCGGGCTGGCTAACTACCATGTGCCACTTGAACTCCTTGTGTGTCACTCCTCTCTTGGCTGCTGCAAGCTGCACCACGGGGTGTATCTGCAAGCACGCATCATTGAACCGCTTGATGTAGCCCCGGATGGACTCTCCTTCCCTCTGGACTACTCCGAAGATGCTCTCCTCGGTTCTGGGGCACCGCTTGCTGGTAACGAAGTGCGCGGTGAAGATCTGCACGAATTGGGTCCAGCTTCTTATTGACCCGGGGGCCAGGTTCCTGTACCAGGTGCGGGCCACCCCCATGAAGGTGGTAGTGAAGGCCACCCACATGCATGATTCACTGGCGCTTGCTAGGTGCATTTGGGACTGGAAGGCATCGACGTGGTCGTTGGGGTCGAAGGACCCATCATACTTGTCTAAAGGGGGGAGTTTGAAATCTCTGGGCATGGGGACTGCAAGGAGTTTTGATGAGAGGGGGGAAGGGACTGAGAGAATAGGTGTAGCTTTTACCTCGTCCGAGTTTGTCTCTTCTTTACCTCTGAGTTCGGGCAGGACGAGGGTGGTAGTTCAGCGACTTCGCCGACGTCTTCGTTGCTGAGTGGGCCTAGTACTGGCGCTGCTGGCCTCGGTGTTGCCGAGCTTGATGGGCCTGGACTGTTGGTTGCCCGCCGCTAGGCCACTGAATCGGTTCTCTATGGGCGGGAGCTCAGAATTGGAGTTCCGAGGTGCTGACTTGGCGGGCGAGGTTCCCGACCCGCCGGCGAGCTGCGAGGCGGGGGGGATTTTTCTTTCCCTCCGGCCCAGGGATGAGGCCTATCTCTTGGAGGGGTTCTGAAGTTGGGAGGCTTCTCCTCGGTGAAGGCGTCTACCTTGAGAGGAGGGCTTAACCGGCTTCGGAGCGGGGTGCCGAGGTGGAAGCTGTGGTTGGTTCAGAGGCAATTGGGGGAACTGCTGTTGATAGAGATACTGAGAGATGTAGTGAAGTACTTGGTGCTGTTGGAGCTGATGCTGCTGGAACTGCTGCATTTGGGGCTTGCATTGCCCGCATGCACTGCATTAAGTCATCAAAATGGTTTTGGCCAGTCGCCAGGGGGACAACAGTTGGCTCGGTAAAGGTTGTCTCGACAGGGAGAGGAAGGGGGACGTTCATGGAGGGAAGATTCACGGGCGCCACTGTTCGTGGCGCATTCAGGCTAGGAATCCCATCCACCGGAAGGGGGATGGTGAACTGTCCGATGCACACCACGGGGACTTGAAGTTGTTCCCCGGTGGCGTTCATCTCCGTGCTACGTCCGGCATTGATGGAAGAAGCAATGAGTGTTGGGGTTTCTTGAAAAAAAGGGGTTATGAGAGTTTTAGAGGGAGGCTTTTAGAAGCGTTTTCCCATAGACGGCACCAATYGATGGAGGGCAATCCGGCCGGTCCTAGCTGTCAACGATCTTGCCTCTGGCTGGAGCAAAAGGTGCCTGGAACGGAGAAGAAAGCGAGTAATCTCCGGGGAGGAACTCAGTGAGAGTGCTCCGAAGCTCAAGTTAGTATTTCCTCAAAGGCAAGATAAAAAACCAGATGGCACAAAGTTATTACATACCTCCTTCTTGGGGGGGAAGAGAGCCTTTTATAACCACTTTGCGCACTCACTCCCAAGCTCCTGTCAGGTCGGGTCTCATTACCTCTGCACTTCTGCCAGTTCGGGTGTCATCACCTCTGTTGGGGCAGACAACCGCCACCGCTCTCTTTGTCGGAGCTGTCTCTGTGACTGGAGGTGGCGGTGGCAGGTGGCCGTTGAAGTGCGGCTGTCAAGTGTCAGATCCTAAGTCTATCAGGTGCGCCGCCTTAGGATACGGACGCCTTTGGTGTCAGGTTAGGTACGGTTGTTCTGTTCGGCGTCCTGGAGACGAAGTGCTGGAGTGGTGTGCGAGGTGAAGTCTTGAGTTCAGATAGAGGTGTGGCCCGAACTGCCCTGGGGCGGGCCCGTTCGGATTGTTGCCCTTTGCGCTCCTCGTAAGGCTCGGGGCCAAAGGGAGAATTCAAACTCTTTTTGGGGAGCTCGGACCGCTGATTCCTCCTCTCGGAGCTCATGCCTTGAGCGTACTGCCTACCGAGCTGTTGCCTCAGCCACGTGTTGAGTGGTGAAGAGGTCGGGCCAAATCTTCCTTCATCAACAACTATAATATCTTCGCCGTCTCGCACTCTCACCCCATATTGCCATGTAAGAGAAGAAAAAGAACAGAGGAAATGAAGCCAGAACCAGGAGAACAATAAGTGAGAAGCGAAGAGACCTATCTCTACCTTCGTGTTTGTTTCGTTATATGATCTTCGGTGGATTGGATAAGAAGAAACCAGACCCATTTGTTTTTGCTACTGAATGTGCCTGAGTTGGGTTTTGCTTCTTTTACCGCTTTACTACCCAATCAAAAGAATAAAAGAGGAGGAGGAGAAGGAGAAGCCATAAAGGCTCTGCTTTTCTCGAAGATTGCAGAGCAAGAAGATATGGGTATTCCGTCCGACGACGTGGTTCTCATCAGGGAACCAGAAAAACAAGGTGGCCCGAGTGTGATTACTGTGAACTGCCCAGATAAGACCGGCTTGGGATGCGATCTTTGCCGAATAATTTTGTTCTTTGGGCTTAGCATTGTGAGAGGAGGTAAGAGAGAGATCCTTAGAATGAAGAGAAACCAAGTGTAGGTGCTCTTTTTCCTTAATTGTTTTTTGATTTTTGGTTTGTAATTTTAGATTTTGCTTCTCTTTCATTTATGGTGCAGATATTTCGACGGATGGTAAATGGTGTTACATAGTGTTCTGGGTCGTCGGAAGGTCGTCGACAAGGTGGAGTCTGTTGAAGAAAAGACTGGCAGAAGCTTGCCCTTCTGCTTCAGGAATTTACTATTACAGGCCAGAGTTGCAGCAGCCGAAGCCCCCAGATGTTTTCCTCTTAAAGTTATGCTGTCATGATCGAGAAGGGCTCTTGCACGGTCTCTCTCTCTCTCTCTCTCTCTCCTTCTTTCTTTTTCTAAAGGCTTTTAGAATTTGGAGTTGGATCTTTGCTTATTATTTTTGAACATCACCGCTTTTTTTTTTCTGTTATTTGTTTGTAGGAATCATTTGCTAGACTAAAGCTTTTGATTTCTGTTCTACTATTTCTTTTGAGACTTTCGGGTGTATTAATTTTCCTAGGTTTTATTCCTTTTCATGATTCGAAACTTGCATTTCATCTTGCACTGCATTAATTTAGTTTTGGGGGATTGGCAGATGTGACCGAGGTTCTCTGCGAGCTTGAGCTTATAATAAGGAGAGTGAAGGTATCCACCACACCAGACGGGAAAGTGATGGACCTATTCTTCATCAAAGACACCAGGTTTCATATGCATTTCTTTTCCTTTTTTTCCGGTTTTTATCTTTCTTCAAAATATGATCTCATTCTTGTTTTTGCTATGTTTTCTTATATTTTTGTTCCTTGCTTTCAGTTTCTTGACTGCTATTGTTTAAATTCATTTTATTTATTATTGTCTATAATAAATTTAAATGAAATAAGTTGATTACTTTGGGACTTGGATAATTCAAGTAGACGATTCTGGTTTCCAATAATTATAATAGAAAACTCCATGAAAAACAAGTAATATGTGTCAAGATATATGTTAATCAGGCAAAAGAACAAACGCTTTCTTAACCAGTAACTCTGTAAGATTAGATGGTCTTTATTTTGACAGTTGAATCAATGTAATGTGTCAAATTTTACAAAAAAAAAAATAGCAAGACTTGACAAACAAACAAAATATGACAGTTATACAAGTGCTACTAAACTTGTTTTTTTACTATTATTCCTCAAATTTCATTTATCACATTGGAAAGTAGACCACATTTTCTCTGTCAATGATAACCCATGAAAATAGTACTGTAAAAGCGCATATATGACCATCCATGCAGACGATGGAGTGCATCCATAAATTTATCATGGACCAATAACTGTAATATTAAGAAAAAAAGCTGAATTTATTTCTTGGAATCCTAAAATGACCCTGATTTCCACTTTTTAAAGGTAATAAAAAGTCCTTTACCTAATGCTGTTCCCAATTTGAGAGGGGTGGACTGGATATGGACCTAACTACCGACAATCCCCGCCCCAAAGTGGCTGTTCTGACTCAAACATGAACACTTGTTCTCTTGCTTGTGAACCTGATTTCATCATTGCACCAAGCAATGATCCTTAGATTCATTAAAGTTGTGTTTGGTCGAAATTCCTTAAGAACTTTCCCTTAACTTTGTGTTTCTCTCATATTTTCTATCAAACCAAACATAGCTTGATAATGTTCTGAAAAAACAGAGGTAAGACAGTGTGATTTGATCACTAAATATGACAGAGCACCTGCCATTTGATGACCTCCTCCCATGAGATTTGTTTGTGCCAAAAGTAAGTGTGATTTGATAAATTTTGACCATATGATCTTTAGAGTATTTTCAGGGTCTAGTAGATACTTATTAATTAGTAGATCCTGATCTTTGTTTTGTCTTGTAGCCATAGCCAGAAGCTTAAGCAGGGTCCAATTTTAGCTTGAGCCTTTTTTTTTGGCAACACTACTATTTTTCTTAACACTCAAATGTAGTGCATTTGCTGATTCCATTAACTTGATGTGATACAAACAAAAAATGATATATTTTCTGGGTACACTCCAAGCAGAAAACATGCTGTTCCTTATCCCTCTCATGTTTAATATTCAAACTAGTGTTGCTTTTTATTTCACACTAATTCTTCTTTCAAATTTCAATAAACTTTGCATCCAAATTTTTCTTAATGTGGTTAGATTTTCTATCTGCTTCTACATTCTTCTATGTAGGCAGTATTTTTCATGTATAATTTTTTCTTAATTTTTCTAAAGCAGTATATTTCGTGGAATATTTCTGTTGGGACTTTTGACAGGGAACTCCTACATACAAAGAAGAGACAGGAGGAAACAGATGATCATTTGAGAGCTGTTCTTGGTGATGCCATGATAAGTTGTGACATAGAATTGGCTGGCTCCGAGATGGTGTCATGTTTACATGGTTCATCATTTCTCCCATCTGCAATCAGAGAAGAAATGTTCAGCTTGGAAATGCATGATGAACACCCAAGTAGGTCTTCTGCACGAAGCAGTGTATCTGTTACAATGGACAACAAACTCAGCCCTTCTCACACACTTTTCCAAATCATATGCCAAGATCACAAAGGCCTAGTCTATGATATCATGAGAACACTGAAGGATTACAACATCCAGGTGAATATTTATCAACAACTAATGTGAAAATAATCACATCAGAACAACTTTTTGTTAACTAAATATAGGTCATGAATTTATAATCCTTTGTCTGTATTCTGTGGATTAACTTTTTGTACTGAAAATATGTTTCTCAGTGTATTATTACCTATATTCTTTCTAGATTACCCCAGAATTTGCCGTCTCTTGAGAACATCATAATGGAGTATTAGTTTGCCAAATTTGGTTAGTTAACATAATTTAGTCAGTTTTTTACCCGGTCATGACCAATTCCACCAACGATTGACTAGGATTTATCTCATCTATCTCTTTCTGTTAGAAGCTTTTGTTGATAAATTTTGTTCAACATTAGAAACATCTGTTGAATTTACTCTTTGACGTTTAAAATTTTATCTCAGGTTTCGTATGGAAGGTTCACTACAAACCAAAGGGGAAGCTGTGAAGTGGAATTGTTTGTAATGCAAGCAGATGGGAAGAAGATAGTTGACCCAAACAAGCAAAATGCTTTGTCCTCTCGCCTACGGATGGAACTCTTTCGTCCTCTTAGAGTAGCTGTAGTAAGCAGGGGTCCAGACACAGAGCTGCTGGTGGCAAACCCTGTAGAGTTATCTGGAGAGGGGCGGCCTCTTGTTTTCTATGACATTACTCATGCTCTCCAGATGCTGAATAAGTGCATTTTCTCGGTACTTACCTTTATACCCTATCACATAAAATTCATAAGTGTTTTGATCTCTGCATTTAAATATTAATAATTATTTGCCATGTTGAATAGAATGATATATGCTGATTTTTCCCTGTTGTCCAGGCTGAAATTGGAAGGCACCTGATTGGGGATCGAGAGTGGGAAGTTTATAGAATTCTTCTCGATGAAGGGGATGACTCTTCTGTTTCAAGGAACATGATTGAGGAGGGCGTTAGGAAAATGTTGATGGGTTGGAACTGATCATGATTCATGACTGAGAAGACTGTTCAAATTGGATGACTGGAAGCTCCTCTGCCAGACCGCTAGTGTACAGTATAGCGTTGTCCAGTCTACTTCTCTGCTTGTAGTTAGTTACAAAGTGAAAACTATGAGATATATCTTGTGAAAAGGTGAGCTGTTTTATCAGTTGGGGAGTCTACGCCTTAGCCTAAGACTTTGTTGCCACTAACTAGGTTTGTACAGATGAGTACATAGAAAAGGAAGCATAAGGCTCCCTTGGTAATGTGCATACTCGTTACAGGAAGGGAGATGGATAAACAACCTGTTCATACCTGTTTCTATTGACCTCACTCTGTATGGAAGCAAAAGAGATAGCTAGACTATGTTGTAACGAAAGAGAGAGCTATTAGCTGCACCTGGGTAGAGATTTTGAGGTTGAACCTAGACCTTTTTCTTTTGAATGAAATTCAGTTTCTGAAGAACCCAGGAAGCGTCCCAAATATAACTACTTTGTTCTCGTTGTAAAATTTTCCACTGTGATTGTTGGTGGACCTTCAAAAGGAGTAACAATTTCAGCAAAGGTGTGAGTTTCAGGCCAAATGGTCTTATACTGCAGTGACACAGAATTTCATGACATAGCATAGGGTGGTGGAGTTAAGACAGGCAAAGGAGTGGGAAAGAGTAATGTGGATATGGATATAATTTTATCCAATTGGAGTGCCTGAGACCTGAGTTTCAAACTTTCAATGATCATACTACTTTATTTATGGAAAGATGAACTATTCTTTTGATATTTTTTGAAGGGCCTTTCATCACAGTTTGTTTGCATGGAATGGGTTAGGTTAGGTGAGGTGTTCTTTCCTGCTTCCATGTATGTGTTTGTTCAACATGTGCCTGCACCGGTGGCAAGTGGCTGGCTACTCGAATATGCTTAACCAGTAGAATCCAACCATGTTGATATAAAAGAAAATTGCTAATAATAAAATAAACTCCAGGTGGGTGGCTCTGATTTCCCATTTCTCTGGTTGGTATAGGTATGGGAAAGGACATTATACATGGATGGCTCAGATCTGGTAGCTTATCACTACATTTGGTGAAATGTTGAAAACCTTTTGCTAACGGCTGTGTAGGATTTAGTTCGGGACCCACCAGACCACAAAAAGACATGATTCCATTTCTTGGTTGCAGTCTCTTCCCCAGATTTCATATTAGAGATGCAGACCCAGTCAATGATCCTCTATCGCCCTTATGGTTGTGGGGGACGACTAGCCACTGCTAGAGATGATTCTTTTTAATGGTAGTCTTCTGTTTGCTTTCAATAGTTCCACCCAAGGTTCAAAGTATCGGGACATGTTTTTGATACGAACAAAAAATTAATATACGTATAAATATGGTAAAAAATTTAAATAAATCTTAAAAAATATTATTAATTATATTTACATATTTTATATAATTGTAAATAAGTTATTTAAATGTAAAAAATCATAATTTAATGGTTTATATAAAGTGTAACATATTGGGACACAATTAGTATCTGTTGAAAAATGAGAGAATAACTAAAATGTAAAAAAATAAGAAAAAAATTAAAATGTGAATGTCAATTTTCAAAAACCAATTTAATTAATCTTAATATTTATTAGTTTATAAATTTTAATAATTAATTCTAGCATTTATTAATAAAAACTTGTCACTCATTAAGAAAAGTGAAAATTTACTTAAAATTAAAAATACATATAATTATAGTAAACAAATATTTGAATTAGGTTGACCCATCAACCTAGATAATGTTTTTTGGCCTTTATAATATTTTTGTCAGAATCCATTCAGTTCAGACAATCGGACCATTCGACCTGGGAACCTGACCCAGAACGGTTCCCTATCCGGTTCAGTTTTAAAAACCTTGATGGCATCCTTTAGGCTTTCTCAACGGATCCTGGTAAAATTCTCTTGGATTATGCTATGAGCCACATGGTCATGGTCCCATGCAACTTATTTATAGTGTGTTTTTATAACGTGATTTTTTTTGTTGGTGGTTTCAAAAATAAATCAAAACCATCTGGTTTGAAAACATAATGTTTCTCAAAATAAAAGCACAAAAAATGTTCTTGGTTCTGTAAGTGTTTTCTTCTTTCAAAATTGAAACCAAAAACAAGTTCTTGAATTTGTGTTTCTAATTTCTAAAAACTTGCCCTCAACTAGTTATTTATATTCCAACAATCATATAATTTCTACACTACAAAATTTATTTATGTTTTAAAAAAACATTATTTTGATGGTTCCAACACATGTAATGTTTTTTCTTTTAAACAAAACAGCCCATTTTCACCTTTAGGCCGTGTTTGGTTGCAATGCAAATAAATTTGCACTGATGCAAAATTATAGCAGTGCAAATGATTTGAGGGTAAATTATGACCTATTTTGGTTTCAAATTTTAGCTTATTTTGTTTGATTGTAATACAAATGATGAAGTAAATTAAGACATAAAGCAGAATAAAGTAAAATTAAACAAGAATTTACATTTTTTACATTTACACTCCCATACATTTATACTAATGCAAATAAATTTGTACTGCAATAAGAACAAAAGCAGAATTCAAGAACAATTTTTTGCTGATGTGGGAATGCCAAACATGATGGGCCATCCACCATCCAGTACATAGTTTAGGAGAACGGTGTTTGCTACGATGCACTGTTGATGATGATGATGGTGATGGACTTAATGTATTGTCATGTTGTCCACCACCTTGAATTGGATAGTCGTGGAAAGCCATTCATTCACAGATTTAGGCCAGCGTGGTAGCAAAAGTGAACTCTAGTTCCAGAGGTGTGGTCTAATCCATCCTGTGGTATTAATAGGGATCCCCAGGCGGCCTCATCATTGACTGGCCTAAATGAAGAACTCATTGCCTAAACATCAATTGGGCAGACTAATCTTGGATTAGTAAAATGTAGGCCCAAGACCCAACAATGATATGGGCCTGGTAGTTAGGCCGATTACAAATTGGAGGCCTGCCCAATGTCCTTAATGAGTTAATTTCTTAATTCTCATCCGAGGTTCTATACCTATGTGTGTGTTATTGCGAAAAAAACTTTGGCTGTTGGGGGCGTTCTTGGGAATACTATATTACTTTGAGAGTAGGTAAATTAGTAATTGCTATCTAATTTATTTTAACCAAAAACAAAAACATAGGCATGAATAGGTGGACGTGCCCAGCCTAAAAACTCTCTCAACTGCGTAGGCTATTGGCCCTAAACAACTAAAGTTATCCTGTTACTGTGTGGTACCAAATTATCTTGGCTAATATTAGCAACAACTGGTGAGGAACCGGTGTTGTTTCTCCGATTGCTGTTTTATAAGAACGGTGATGCTGTGGTTTGCCATTTTTTTTCTTTTTTGAGAAAATGACAATGTCATTTGTTTGATTCCATATCTGCCACTTAAGTGTCTTTCATTGCCACATGACTAATTGTTGTAGGTGGCGCTGAGTCTGGATCAGGTAGGCACAATGTTGTAATCACGTTTAATGAGTATTTGAAAAATTTTTGACACCCGTCTCTTAAAATACTTTCAAACCTGCCCTTAAAAACCACTTTTGACAGTTGTTAGAATATTTATCAAGTATTCATTAAAGGTACTTATTATAGTGTGCGTACTAGATCCGGTCCCCTGATGTATTGCTTTTTTTTTTTGAAAACGGCATATGTTCCATACACGAAGTCCTCCAACTCCAAGTATGTACACATCAGCAATCTTCCACGTGTCAACATAATTTGAGCTGGAAAAGGGCTACATGCATGTAGCTCATTTACCTTCATTTTTTACGAAACACATTTCAGCTTGAATCCAAAAGAAGCCTTTACAGTTGGACCCTCTGGATTTGGTGAAATGTTCACTTACAGTCCACCAGAAATTGGGGGTACTCTCCATTCAAACAGTGCTCTGCTGGGCTCGATTCAGAACTCAGAAGGCTGGCCCAATTTGTAGTGCTAAATACAGATGGGAATTAAAAGTTCCCATCTTTACAGATGGCTTACTGTAAAGATCGTGGCATGATCGTTAACGTTTAAAACTTTTAATTCCAAAGAAGAAAAAGGCAGAAAGGCTTAGAAGATGGGAACTACATGCCAAACTACAGAGGTCGAGAGGCCCCTCGTACTAGAACTTGCCCCATGAGTAGAGAGACAAAAGGAATATGTCAGGTCCGTTCAGGCCCACAACTACAGTACCATCTCATTCATGGGCTTGGGTCGTTAATTCAGATTATCGAACTAGCGCCCGTGGGTTGTTGGAAGTTGGAACTCAAATCGTCTAATTTATATATGAATTACGATTCTCTCATTATTATATTAGGTTGATATACTAATGAAGTGATGATGCCTTTCTTTTGGCTTGGCTTTTGAACTTTTTTATTGACGTTGAATAATTAAGGTAGTCTTTTGGCTTTTGTATTCCACCCAAGTTGCTTCTGGGCTCTGCCACTTTGCATAGACTGAGGTCGGTTTCTTCTCCATCTTGGGCTGCTTCTGGGTTCCCAAGTATTTGAACTCACCCGGCACTGGCGCACCGCCACCGCCCTGATAGTGGATCTAGGGGTGATGTCAACGGGTCGGTTTACCTCAACCCTAAAGTCTCGACCAGAACCCAACCCAATCCGCCTTAAAAAATGCTTAGTTTCCAAATTCAATTTAACTCTATCGGGTCTAACCTTGATCCGTAGCATTTCTATTATCTTTTTCTAATACATTCGAAGACCTAAAATCCATTAATTTAAATTAAAATTTATTTTATAAAATCTAAAATATCACTTTTTCTATTTAAAAAAAAATCAAAACTAATATATAAATAAACTTTAAAGCTACAGAGGTAAAAGTCAAAAAGTTATAAAATACGGATGGATCAGTAAAAAACGAAACCTAATTCGAATGGAAGAATCAAAACTCTAACCCGATCCTAACCTTAAAATCAAACATATTGACCCAAACCGGATTTATCATTTAATCCGACCCGATCCATTGACATCCCTAAGGGGTAGTGGTAGACCGAGACCACCCAACGAATTTATTTACCAAGATAAACTTAACGGACAAAATCCACATTCCGAAAAATGCTGTCAATTGTACGGTCCCGATGAAGTGATGATTCCCTGATCACCACCGAAAAAAAAAGCCCAAAACACTATTCAAATCCAGAGCTCTGACATCTGAGCTAGCACTCCCCATTTCCTTCCCATTAAAACTGGAATATTTAATTCTTTTTAAAAGGTTGCATTTTAAAAAATTCTTTTTTTAATTACTGCAACATCTACAACTAAAAATTAATTCAAAAAATATATATTCCTCCAGAAAAATTACTTAAAATCAATTTGTATACAATTTTATTTGCTATATTATATACATTCCTCTGTCGGGCTGAGCGCATAGTACTTCCTGCACTACCGATTAATCCAGCAAATCAAGCATTACCATCTGGATGGAAATACACGTGGCATCATCGTCCGCCAGGGAGATGCGGGGCCGCATGAACCTCTTGCTACTCTCGCTTGGCGAAGAGCAATCCAAAACAAAAGATATGCTAGCTGTCTTTCCACTATCTGCCTGCATCAGCATCCACGTGCGGAAAAGCCACACGACTTAACTGGCACCACCTCGAAACCATCTTTGAATCAGTCAACTGTCTGGTATCGAGTGGATTTGAGATGACCGTCTCCTATACGACCGCTCCATCTTCAGTGATAACTCACGCAACACTTGCCACGTGGCATCCCCTTCTTCGATTTGACGATTGAACAGCAGGGCCCGTCTGTTGACTGGGTCCCACAGGTTCCTCTGAATGATGGACAAGTTCGTCGACGCTACGTGCTCGAGGATCTTTCCTAGGTTCCCCGCGTCTTTTTCTGCAACGGTGAGGGATATCTCCGGCCACCGGACGACGTCTGAGAATGGTAAACGGATGCCGTCGGCGATGATGACGGGGACACAGCCGAGAGCAACCGACTCGACCAGTCTCGGACTCCATGGGGCCCAGCCCAGTGGACAGAGGCAGAACACGGACCGTACGATCTCTGACTGGTAACCGGGAAACCTATGCCGCCTTAAGTAAAACTTCCGGTGCCGGTTGTATTTCTCCCAAATTACCGTCCGTACTCGCCTGAAAAAGAGAAGAGAATTATTTCTGTATTTCAGAAAGCTAAATTTTATACATCATGTCGTTCACTTTTTTTGTAATTTTTTACTTTTTGCAGTAAAAAGCCTAGAAAATCCCGCCGACTTTGTACTTTTTACTGTCACATTTTATATTGACACAAATGCCTCCTCATTGACTGTTTTTTCGGCGGAGCCTAATTGTTTCGCGAACGGACGTTGGAGGGTATTCCCGTCAAAGTAAAAACCCTCGGTTTGTTTTTGTCTTTGAATTGGCAAGCGAGATCTTTCTCTGCAAGCAAATCAAGCGACTAGATGCGCTTCTGACAAGAAAAGAAGGGTATTTCCGTAATTTGAGGTAAAGTTGCGGGGTGTCTGACTGCCAGTTTCATGTTTTTGGATTAGAGAAAGTAATTACTTGCTGTAAAATCGCCCGCTGATGTTCTTGGGATGAACTTCCATCTTGCCTCTGAAAAATGCCCAGATGTCCCTCTCACCGTTCACCGGCGCCGTTTCCAGTGTCGACCGCACGCTTTCCGGCGAAATATAAGGTGGTATCAACACATTTTCGACGTCTTGACACGGATGGCGGGAACTAACACCAAAAGTCTGCAATATAATCGATTGCTTCAAGAACGCTGGAATCGCGTCTGCGATTGCTACGTCCTCCTAAAGAATATCCAGACAAGACGAAAGATTAAATCATAAAACCTTTGCAGAAAAATAATAGGAAAAAAATAAAGAACCTTTGACTCACCATGGCGTGAAAACAAGCTCCGTAATCGTGTGAAGCGACAAAGACGTGATCGGACCCACCGCTTCGATTCCAGAACGGCATTTCAGAAGAGATGAGCTGCATCGCTGAAGATAGAAGAGGCCGCGCATGACCGATCGACGGGAATCCATTAACGGTACTGAAGTTACAAGACACGTAAACCGGAACGAAAAAGAAATCGGCTTCCCATGGTTTGAGTGTCCGTACATCACTGCCCATCAATGCTTTGTGTATCGCGACCTCCGCTGCAAAGAGATGGTTGCTGCATCTCTCGTTCGATAGCCAATCCGTGTTGTATCTTGAAGGGAGCTCATAGATATAAACCTTCAAATCGTTGAATAACCCTACATAAAATAATCAAAGAAAATAAATATGACTATATGAGCTTAAGTAACCAAGGCAAAGAAACAGAAGAGAAACAGAACAAAATGGTCCAACCTCGAGATAGGTGTATCCCATTCGTTCTGGGTTGTTGCGAAACAGTCGTATTGCTCTCAAACAAGGCTCGAGAGAGAAAGCTGCCTTTTGAAACAGAGACGGTGGTTTTAGGAAGCGAGGTGGTCTTGCTGGAGCTACTGATGAGGTAAGAGCTGAAGAAATAAAGGGACAAAGAAACCCAGAGAACCCATCTGAAATATCTGTAGCAGAAGCTCTTATCGTGTTTTCCGTGCTTGTTCAAGAGCCTCATCTTGGTGGTTCTTTTGAGCTCCACCATCTCATTGTATGCTTAAAAAAACAAGAGTCCGAGATGAATTCAGTTGTTGAGATGGGGCTTTCATTTTTAGTTGGAGATGAAGTGAGGATGAAGACAGACATGGAAGGGATGTGTTGGTGGTGGTTCGTTTTTACATCATTTTTTTAACAGACGAAATCGTTCTTTTTATTTTCTTTTGGTTTCGTTGGTGGGTTCGGTTGGGTTTCGGTGTTTTTGTTGTCTTTCCCTGTTTTTCAATTTTTTTTCCTGGCACTGCTCTTTTTGCGAAAAAAAAAAAACAGAGGAGAGAGAAAGAGAGAGAGGTCAGAGGTGGAATTAGGACGGTTGTTTCATTGTTTGCAGGTTGCAGAGAAGTCACATGACGCACAGCGGCGACAGTCCGAGGAGGGGTTCGGTTCTCGGCCTCTTTTGTTGTTTAGAAATGGGCGGACGAAATGACAAAAGTATCCTACAAATTTTGAAAATAGAGATGGATATTCAGGTTTCGGAACCAATTCGGGAGTTTGTAACGTGCAACGTCTCGGGTTGGGAGTTGGGACAACGAATTTATATCGTTAATCACTTGATCGTATCGTGTCTCTTAGAGTTTCGGAACTCCCAAGACATGAATGATTCCCTGACAGTAGTCAATCTGCGAATTAATTTTGCATTCGTTGACAATACAAAGGTAATGAAGACACACAAACCACATGGTGCACATGTATGGCCAATCAAATAAAAGCAGACTGAACTTAGCGTGAGTCCAGCTAGACCTACACTGCTCTCTGATGGGTAGATATTAATTCAACGGCACTGATTCATGAGACATTAGGGCCGGCCCCATGGAACAAAATGTAAGATGGGCCCATGGAATGATACAAGAAATAATGGGCCTAAATAATGTGGTGAAGATGGGAAAGCTGAATGAAAAGGAGGGAGACAAACGCAAAGGCAAAGTCTGGGGAGTGGGGAGGGAGGGAATAACAAGGTCGCGATTGTTGTGAAAGTGGGATGCTTTTGGTTAAAGGATCTCAAAAGAAACAAATACATCTGTTTAAATCCTAATAATTACTCTCTTAATTTGACCTGGATTTTCCACTAATTTACCGAACAACAAACTTTATTTGGTTCAGAATAAAACCGGTTTTAAAGATGGCAACTAGACCCGTTCTTGTGGGACTAGCAGGTTTTCTAACTATTGATTGGGGTTTGGAGCGGGTTTCAGGAAATCCAAAACTTTAAGGACCGGAGAAGGGGCAGGGATGGTAATTGTTCATCCTAATTTCAAAAAATAAATTTACGAATAAGAGTGGCCGAGTCAAGGTGGCACAAATTCAGGAATCCCCATTCACTGTGAGGATGGGAATGGGATTGGAATTTCTAGCCTCAAGAGGCGGAATCTTTGAGTTCAGGGTCGGGAATGGGATATGCAAAACCTGGCCCCGCCAGCCCCGTTGCCATTCCTAACCGGTTCCGGCGTTCCACGTTTGTGAAATGAAAGAAAGGCTGGATTGACCGTGCTGCCGTGCACGGGAAGTAGTTGCATCTCCCGGCCAAGAATGGACCGGTTCTCTTCTCATATCGTTTGAGTTTTGACCAGGCAAAAGAATGGGCTTCCGTTTAATAATCCCAAAAATGATGTGGATTTGGATTAAATTATGCTAAGTCACAATAAAAGAGGATTCACGTAATTGCGTTCTCTCTACGTTAGTCATGGTCCACACATAAAAAGAATTAAGAAGAGTGGATATCTGTGTGGAAATGGACTCGAGTTGTAATGGGTGGGCTAGGGTTTTCAACTTTTCTTATGGGGGCGTAACAGATAAGGTACAAAATATAGAGCCCACCAGAAATCTAAAATGCTTGCTTAACATTGCAGGAATTGAGTCTAAACTCTAAATATAAGTGGTTCTCACTTGTTATCATGGGTTAACATCATGGATAGTGATTGTATTAGTAGCCGCCTCTGTCTTTGTCCACTTCAGAGGAAGGAAGTATTTGGGGCCACGGGTGTTACTGTTATATCTCCTGACCCATCACCTTCTTACCAATCTATGGGTCCCACAAGGCCCACATGGGCCCAACTTACTCGAGAAGAGGACCCAATCATCTTGACTAGGGTAGACAACGGTTATTGCCTTATTGGATGCCACCAGATTAGTTGGAGTAAAATACAATAAACGGCACGCAGAAAGTAAAAAGAGAAGCCACAGTGAAGTCTCCAATTGATGATTCATTGATGAATTCTTAATGGTTCAACTTGAAGAGCTAAAGGTGGTCCAGCTACTTTAGTCCAGCTCTAACATTCCAGGAAAGGCTCATCAAATGCTAGAATATTAGTTTATGATCAAATGGAGAACCTGGATCTATCGTGATCAGATTCTACAAAAAAAAAAAAAAAAAGCTTCTATTATTTTAAATATGGTTATTTGTCAAAGTGGGGCTCTAACATTTTATCTCTACATCATTTTTCTAAGGTTGTCTCTGGTTGCAATGCAAATAATTTTGCATTGATGCAAAACCACGACAGTGCAAATGATTTGAGTGTAAATTCTGACTTATTTTTGTTTTAAATTTTTGTGTATTTTGTTTGATTGTAATATAAATAAAATAAATTAAGACATGAAACAGAATAAAATAAAATCCAAAATAAAATTAAACAAGAATTTGCATTTTTTATATTTGTACTCCCATACATTTGTACTAGTGCAAATAAAATTGCACTGCAACCAAACAACGATGCAAATGGAGTGTAAATCACGGTTCAGGGTAAATTTGCACTCTGGTTCACTTTTGCCTATGTTGAACAATATTACATTTATGCATTGACAAATGACAGAATAATGTATATATACATTGATAATTAGATGTAAAAGTACATCAATAAAAAAATAAGTAAATTTGTATTCAAGTGGGCTTTTGATAAAAAAAAGCATATATTTTATTGAAATTAATGTTTACATCCATTATAGCTAAAAGTCTATTTGATATGAAGGTAAATTTGTCAGTGCAAAATTAACCCAATTTTACAATTTATGTGAATCGTTTTACACTCTACATATTTACATTCACACTTATTTGCATTATTTCCAAACACAGCCTAAGAATTACGATATCCAAGTTCAAATTTAACTAATGGGATCATCCCAAAACACCTGCGCACCCACCTAGAGCTAGAGGCAACAAATGAAAAGTTTGACAAAAGATAGTGCCGCAATTTTATAAGCAGTTTATGGGAATACGAATCGCTCATAATGGCGCTTTCTGGGCTTAAATATCATTCAATTGGGATGGAATTAAAAGTGATTAATTTAACGATGGATATAGGTCATAGGGGTCCAATTTGGATGGGTTGGGCCGGGTTTATGATCAATTCATGTCCAACACTAAGATTTGAATTAAGGTTGAAGGCAAGTCCAATTTTTTCAATCTAAGCTCAACCTGTACTGTAATTTGATACATTTGGGTTGGATATTTGTACATGCATGTATGCATTTATGCAAATATATATGTATGTGTATATATGTATATAATTGGGTATAATTCTGACTATCTAAAGGTTATGACCAGGCTCAGCCCAAAAAATTAAAAAAAAAAAAAAAATCTGAAGCTTTAGGCCCAAGGGCTAAAAATTCAAGTCCAATCCATATAAAATTCTGGGTTGAATTGGTCCGAACTCGGCTTAAGCCCACCCAGTTACATAGATCAAATTATAATTTGTCTTATATATGTAGATGTGTTACAACAGCTCTTCAAATGCTGTTCATGGACTAATAGTTAAACATTACCTCAACGTCACCCTCCATATTGATTTCAGGTTCGGTGATATTCCATTTAAGTTGTTAGGTGAGGTTCTTAAATAGGTTTTTATTCTGAAATGAATAAAAGTATAGTAAGAAATTATCTAATCACTAATAGTTTAACAATGGATATGGCTTTAAATAAAATGAATCAGCATAACAGGTTTAATGTGTATAGGCATTGATGATGATGATGAATCACCAATTAGAGAAGATCCTAATCCTTTGTGAAAAGATTTTAGATTTCCAACCAAGAAAACAAAAAAAATGCATTTGAGGGTAGACAACAAAGCCACACCACCCATGGACCAAAAAATCAAACATGATGGTGAATGCCATGAGACGGTCTGAACAAAATACACAGAATGACAGAATCATAGGTGTTTAAATTAAATATCCTTTTCAGCTAGGAGAGTCTACTCTGGGTGGAGTCAGATATGAAAATTAAGCAAAAGCTCTACACACATGTCACCCAGCCATATATTTGAAATATCTCTTATACTATATCTTAAATTCATGAAGAGATGTTTCCGATGTACAATTAAACGCCTGTATTTTCAGAATATGTCCAAAGTTTTTGCTTTCAGGAAATCGCTTCTCCTCTTGATGCTGATGCTGAAAATACTACAGGACCATAATATGAGTAATACAGTGGTGACCATCATGCTAGCCAAGTCCTTGAAAGAATCATAAACTTCACATGACAACCTGAATTCCATGGCAGTCTCTTCCGCTTCCTACTTTCATTCATGTCCACGAAAGAGCAAAAGTAAACTCAGTTCTTACATAACCACCACTTCAAGAGAGAGAGAAGATAAAAGGTAGTAATTTTCCTCACCTCTATTTATTTGGAACAGAGAAGGCAATGACAGATGATCATTAAGGCAGTGTTTGGTTGCAGTGCAAATTATTTGAATGTAAGTTCTGGCATATTTTTGTTTCAAATTTTAACTGATTTTGTTTGATTACAGTACAAATGAAATAAATTAAGACATGAAACAAAATGAAATTAAATTAAACAAGAATTTGCATTTTTTACCTTTACACATTCATCCATTTATACTAGTGCAAATAATAAAATAACTTTACACTACAACCAAACACAGCCTAACTAAAAAATGCAGCACATATATAGTGGAGAATGGAGACCTCATTTGGATGACTGAGGTGGAATATGGTGGGATCTTAGCTTGTAATAATATAAGTATTGAAGTACACGCTATCATGCATATCTCTTAGCTTGTAATAATTACTTCATACAAAAAGCAATAAGCGGCAGTGAGTTATCCTGATTTTTCAAGGACAACTACTGTTGCTACCCATTCTCGTAGTATAATTATTTTCTCCTCTTATCTTTTTTCTTTCTAGGAAAATAGTACATTGAATAATACCATATATGTGATAAAAAGTTCTGCAAGAGTAGATATAAAAAATTTGGGCTTAATAAATGAAGCCATTTAGTTATGCAAAAGGAGAGGAGGTGAACAAGAACATGCGGGTCCATGTGCCTCATTTATTTGGACCAACTAGACTAATCACAATTCATTCTTTATCAAATTCTTTGAAAGTTCAAAGGGGTGAAAGTAAAGAGCGTAGCCCCTCTATTCTGACCAGAAATGTTTTTTAGAGAGAGTGTGTGTATGTGTATACAAGTAGGGGTGTAACATAAGGATTTCTAAGGAGGTCATTCATGTTATATTCTCGCTCAAATACGTTTAACTTCAGGGTTTTGATGGACTTCAATGCATTAGTATTGATATGCAATACAAGGGCTGTTTTCCAAGATGTTAGATGTCACCCATCCTATTACTACTCTCACCCATGTTTAAATATGGTGTATGGATGCAATTGAATCGAACCTCTAATCAAATAGTTCAGGCTTGAATTTGAATCTTAGGATAAGTTAGATTAGTTATTCAAACTCTAGCTCAATCAATAAGAAGTTGGGATCAAAATCTCGTGATCCTTTCTCGATGTATTTATTTATACATATATTATAAAAATATATTCTTTTTTGGGCTCAATACGGCTTGATTACACCCCTAATCTAGTGATTAGTGCTGGTATGAGAGAGAGAGATGATCTGTGGAGCGGTTAAGTTGGCATGCCATCAACAACTTGATAAGTCTGTCTGTTTTTACAAATTTTCAATGAAAAGAAATTGTTGGATGACAACTTAAAAGACAAATTATCAATTTTCTTGCGGATGTGGGAGGGAACGAATTAAGAACAGTTGCCCATGTCTTCATGTGTTTGTATGTGTTGGTGCAAATGAGTGGGCTTGTTTTCTCCCGTAGGCCCTGTACTGCCTGTGGCTTAAGGTGGGCAGTGGTCCTTGATGGAGACTGTCCCCAAAGGTCATTGAGGCCCATTACTGTAGAGCTTGTGTTGGCTTCTCCCTGTACTGTCCCTGACTAGAGGAGAGCAGTGGGCCACTGGCCAGTGGGCCTTGAGGATGCCTGTCCCTAGAGATTCATTTTAGTACAATTTAGACTATTAACTAGTCTATTTAATTTGCAGTTTGGGCTGTGAGGGTCCATCATCTAATTGGATATGTTGTGTCACAAGGCTATTGATTATCACAATAATCTTCCCTTAATGGCTGAAAGAAAGAATTTGGTGAATGATCAATGTCCCAGAATCCCCCCACTAACGTTTATTGTTTTCATTTGTTTTTAGAATCACCACATCAGCAAAAAAATAAAAATAAAAAGTCGTACTTGAACTCCGTTTTTGTTTTCAAAGGGAAAAATAAGTTGGTTATGTTTCAAAAAACAATACATGTCTTTAGAACCAACACAAATATTGATTTTTAAAACAAAAACACATTTTTTAGTATAGAAATTATATGATTTATGGAACATGATGTTGAATAATCAAATGAAAACATGTTTTTGAAACCAGATTCAAGAACATGTTTTTTATTTCAGTTTTGAAAACAAAAATCACATACTGAAGAAAAAAAAAACAATTCATGTTGTTTTAAGAAACAATATATTTTCAATTTTGATTTATTTTTGGAAGCAGCAACAAGAAAAACAATTGATGTTATAGAACACACCCTAAGGGCGTGTTCAACAACCTGGTTGGTTTTGTTTTTGAAGACAAAAACAGCTGCCACATCAGAAAAATTATATTGTTTTTGTTGATGTTGCAGTTGTTTTTATTTTCAAAACCAAAACCAACTATATTGTCGAGGACCTCATGTATAATTTTGCCTATCAGAAAAATGATTCTGCCAACTAAATGGAGGAAGTTGGCTTTGTCCAATACAAAACAATTAACTAAGACAACTTCTTGAACGAAGCACCATTTGGCTGGAACTTTGCAGGTCAGCCATGTTTCAAGGGAGTGGTTGCTGTAAACTTATGACGACCTGGGATCTGGACTACTGAACCTGAGGGAAAAAAACAGAATTTCTGTTGCATTGGCAGTTTGGTTAAGAAGTTTGGCCCCTTGTTCAGAGGCCCTGCTCAGAGAGCAGAGAGACACATGACTTGGTGTAATGGTAAAATCTCAAGCTGGCAACCATGAAGACGCAGGTTCGAGTCTGGGAGTGGCCACTTTGTGCAAAAAATGCCAAAGGTTAGGACCATATCCAGTCTACCCCTCTCAAGACCCCAGATTGCTGAGACCAAGTGACCAACATTGGGTGATGGCCTTATTTTTCAATTGCTACAGTGTTTGAGGATTGGAGAGCTAAGTCGAACATATGTTAGAACAGCTATCAATTTTCCATTTATTCCTTTTCTTAATAAGAATTTAAATGTAAACAATAAATCAAAGAAGAGATACATCTTGTAACAGAAGCTCAATCAAACACCTGCTTCTACCTTAAATAGTAGCTGAAGAGTGAATAATTCAACTGGCATACATATTACAGAGAAGTGCAACGTACAATTAATTACTTAGTGGTTAAGGAAAATGAAACCTATGTTTCTTCTACAAATACACTGATTCTTCTTCAATGAACCCACTGCGCCACCAACCAATCAATATGTTGGTCAGCTTGATATGAATTCCCACTTCTCATAACTTCCGGTAGATGCCCAATTTGTGCAATATGCCTGCAATAACTCCCCAGAAGGTGATCTCTGCAAATATCACGTATCACATACAGCAGTCTTCCTTCTCAAAGTGCCAGTCTGCCAAACATTAATGAACACATGCTTTTGGATCCAATGGACCTGACATTGAATATTTTCATTTTCTTCTTCTTTTTTTCTTTGAAATGTAATAAAAGATTGTACTACTTACAAGAGAGTTATTAGGGGTATTCATAATTACCATCCATTTACGAATGCTGCAAAGATACCTTGTGCTGCGCGCCTTCACAGACACTAGCATTGCATTCATTCCAATCCATTCGAGGACTAGAAATGGAGTTCGAAGACCCCAAACATCAATCTGTTGACTGTTGTGTTCATCAAAATGAGCAAGGTTAGGGAAGATCCAAAGTTGGTTTGTGGATTGAAAACCACAGAACAGTAAAAAGTGAAAAGTGTTGTACCAGGATGTAGAGCCCAGAAAATACAATTCCAGCTGCACCTGCTGTGAAACAAACGTAGCTAAAGCTGTACAGCTTTTTGTTGAGAGGAATATATAGCTAGCTACAAGCATGAATGCAGACATTAAAAGAAAAGGAAGACCCTAGACCAGGTGTATCAAAATGCAGCCATTTCAGAAATGATACTTAAAAACAAGGGACCTCAGTCCCTCACCATCTGTAAGATGAAGAATAGTGACTATGCCAAGTAAAATAAGCCCTATAGACACCCATTGCTTCAGCCTCTCGGATTCACCCTTTGAAAAAGCAAAGTTCAATTGTAGAAGTACATAGAAATTCGGATAGAGGAAGTAAGGTTAATTGGACTGAGAAAAGTATTAAATATGGTTTTCAGATGCATTAGGAATTCTACCACAGCTCACTGCGACCAAAAAACAAATGGTTAATAGGACTGAGCAGAGAACCATTGAATTACATACCTTCAAGTGAATCAGAACATGCCCATAATGAGCTTCGATGGTACCAGAAAGGATGGCCGAAATAGAACTAGCAATACACAGTAAGATCAAGGCTGCATTTGGCATTGAACACACTGCACTACATGCGGCTCATCCACATTTCACCTGTAATTTTCTGTGATCTCAGTTTCATTACTGGCAATCTTCATCTTTATCTGAAAGAAATTGAAACTAAAAAGCGTAATTCATTTGTGAGGCCATTGCCATTAGACACATAGTGTAAATCTTTTCCCTCCATGAACAAAACTCCAGTCAGGAACATAGAGTGCGTATGTTGTGACCATATAAATGAGAAATGCAACGAACCCTCCAATCCTGGGAATTAACCCAAATTACCCAGATGAAATAAGCTTAATTGAAGCTCTTCTCTTGACTCCCTGGTTGGGGGTTTGAAACTTCACTTACCACTGCTCTTTGTGGCCATGGTCTCTGTTAGAGCCACAACCAAGTATACCAAAGCTATTCTCTGTTAAAACAAGAATTGATGAATTTCTGTTTAAGGAATATGGTCATTAAGTCTAGTTGGTCTGATACAGACCCATGAAGAAAACTAAACATGTATTTTTGTATAGATTGGGTGGGGAGTAACCAGAGAGACCTGGAGGATACCACACCAACGGATTCATCAGGGGCATGAGAGTCCACATTCAGTGTATTATGTTCATGCACCACACAGACAAAGCAAGCAAAGTAATGACGATTACATCATTAATCAATATGGTAAGTGTTTACAATTAAGAATATAAATTATACATAAAACACTTTCTTTGAAACTTTTGGTTCAGTTAAAACAAAGGCCCCAGAGACCAGAAGAGAGTTCTTAAAAGGATCATCTTAATGGCGTCCTTGACCTTCGAAATTCTCTGTCTCTGAAAGATTGAATTTTGAATGAGGAGCTGGGAACCGTTCCTGGGCCATGTGAGCGTTGCACCACCCTACTTACCCACTACTATATGTTTATGGATTTGAGAACTTTAAATCAAGGTCCTCGACCCATATTGCATCGTTGGATATGGGCTTTGCCTGGAGTAGGGCCACAGCCCATATATCGATTTTGGGTATCATTCACCAATTTCATCAACTACTTGCATCTCAGAATTTTGAATTTGATAGCAGAAGAATTTAACATCAGGATTTCATAAATAAAAAGTAGAGTGTAGAAATTCAAGTTGGGCCATATTAGGTCAGGTGGAGGTTCATCCTAACCCAATCCAATTGTTGAACCCTCGTACTAAACCAAATCTGGTTACATCAGATTGGGTTAGGATCGGGTTGAGTCCAGGTTTTTAAAGGAAAAACCAAATCCAATCTCATTCTAGCCTGCTGTTTTGGATTTCAGACAGATTCATATTTAATCGAACTCGACTAAACAGTTACTTATTTTTAACTTATATCAAATTTTATAAAAGAATATAGTGTAATACATAATATTTATATGTAGGCATTAATTTATTATCGGATTCAGATTTTTATCAGATTCTGTATGCAATCTGATTACTAGGTTTTAACATCCAAATCCAAAGTAATTGGATCAGATGATATTGGATGTTCGAAACCAGCCAATTGAATTCTTTATGTAAAATATAAAAAAGAGGCATCCTATAATGGGGGTCGGGATCTCCTACACTTGCATTCATTCTGGACATGTCTCCCATTAGGATTTAGATCTCCTACACTTACTTCTATATCAAGGTGTATTTTGCATTGCACCTCTCGTTTCACGTATATAGGTAAACCATTTACCCTTGTCACATGGTAAACGGAAGTGAATGAAAAAATAGTGTTAGGAGGTTCAAAGTTCCCTTGTGGCCTCGTTACACTTGTGTAAATGCCTCTATACATGAGAATAAACATGCATGCAATGAACGCTCTGAATCCTTTACAGGGCAATGAGGAGAGGATCCCCTGTCGGCAAATGATCAGGGTGTTTGGTTTGTGGGCATTTATTGAATAAACGTTTTTACATAGGTACTACTTCAGCATTTCCTCCTTTTTGCTTTGTATGCATCGAAAAACGGCAAAAGTTGACTTTGGTTTTTGTGCATGCCTATTGTTCGTGGAAGTTATTTTTTAAATCTTCCACAAATGGTTAGGCGTTTTTTCACTATTACACTGATATAGAGCCTAGTGGCGCCTAATTGTCATAGACGGTTGTAATTATTACCTTTCTCGATTTTGCAAGCAAATAAAATACAAATATTGAATGAAAAAATGTAAACAAAACCAAACACATACAATATCATGCCAATTCATTCAGTTGTGGTTTAGCATTTAGTGGGTGAAGAAATTAATTGCTATGAGCAGCTCGCATGGTAATGTAACACATGCTTTGTTTTTTTTTTATTGAAAACACTGAGGAACTACACGAATGACTAAAGGGCCAGAATTTGGAATGGCAACGGGACAGAGCGGGGACGAGGAACCTCTCCCCATCCCCGTCACCACGAAAATCTCCATCCACATTCCCGTTCCCATCCCCACTAGCGGGGACAAAGTTATCCCCATCCCCATCTCCACAGGGATCTCCACTCATCGTGATTCTTTATAATGTCAATCATTATGTTTTTGTTTTTTATTTAAAAAATAAAAATAAAATAATTAAAATTTATAATCCTATTAGAAAAGATTCAAACATATTTAACTATATTTTTAAAAATATTAACATATAGACGTATGTATACATATATACATATATAAATACACACACACACACACATATACATATATATCAGCGGGGACCGGGGTCCACGTGGGCAAGGAGTGCTATCCCTGTCCATGCACCATCCCCGCCAATGGGGATGAAAATTTCTCCATCTCCATCCTCGTAGGGAAAAATCATTCCCATCCCTGCCTCATTTGGGGCAGATTCCCACAGGGATCGGTGAAATTGAGAAAATTGCCATCCTTAGCCAGAATTGACCAAATGAGTGGGGTAGCTCTTCCCCACTAATCAACGAAACAAATAAACTTAAGATCAAGTGGGATACAACCTGAAGTGACCAAGGACCATAAAAAGTTTTTCAAGCCAACCAATTTGCAGCTTGTTTAGCCTCATGATAAGTGTACCTGAAGTGGATGTTTAAGTTGAACGTGAATGAGAGAATGTCTCTAGGGGGCTAGCTTCACCTTTCCTTTGAAGTAGGCAATGATGAGCTTTGGTTCTCCTTCAATGATGATTGGGTAATCCCGGAAATTAGTAGAAATGTTGATGGCTTCTCATGCTGCCCAAGCTTCAGTTAGATTTATCGTCGCAAAACCAATATTATAAGCTTTAATTTTAAGGATTGCACCTAGCAGTACAGCCAATAGCGCATTGGCCATTTATTCTATAAGAGGCATCAAAATTGATCTTAGTGCTACCAGGTTTAGGGTTAAACCATCCAATATATGTCCTATCTTTATTATTGCCTTGGTGTTCATTTAGAATATTATTCTTATGTATCGCTTGCTATGTAACCAATCACAAGTGAATACGCAAGTATTCCATATGTTATCATGGGGGCCCTATGGGTAGGGAATACTAGTATGTTTGTTCATGATTATTGTATAGCCAAGCAAACAGCATGCCTTGCTAGTAATTTCTTTACTCCACTCATTTTAAATTAAAGAGCCACTAAAGAGACACTTGTCAGAGGAGAAAAGTGTAGGAGATTTGGGCTCCCATTTGTCCCCCACTTTTTTTTTTTTGTTCAACAAAGAAGGGTGCCCTTGTTATAAGCAGCAAGAGGGTCGAATCTACTGTTAAATGGATCCTACTAACAAGTTGCACAATTAAATGACTTATAGGTCCCGTTCGCTTTTTGGGAAGTTATTTACCCAGATAAATGCATTTACCCATGTTTTTTTATTTCCCAAGTAATTAAGACAATGTCCATTTTTATCCATAAAAATCATTATTAAAAGGGGTAATTTTGTCCCATCCAAGTGTTGGCAACTTTACTCCCATGTGGAAAAGATATTACCCACTTGGGAGATGGGTATCACTTACCCGGGTAAGTAATACCTTGGAAAAATAAATTTTTCACGAACCCCACATAAATCTGAGAAAATAATATGGGTATCTTGGTCAATGGGAAACATTCCCCCTCTCAAAATCTAAAAAATCAACAGGCCCATAAAGTTTTATTTAAAAACCTAAAAATAATTCATAAATAATTATGGCTAAAGTTATCCATCAATTTCTTTATTTTTAGATAGATGATCTTGTAGGTGAGATCCATTTGATAGTAGCTCAGTTCTACATGGGAGACATAACAATTGGATGGAACATTTTCTCATATGCCGTGTTTGGTATTGAAGTTATTTCCTTCTTTTCAAGGTAGTTATATTATGTCAATGCCATGTAGGTGTTTTGTTATTTCCTTTACTTTTTTTTTTTTTGAGCCATACACTGAGACCTTGTTTGTGTTCCAATAAGTCATTTACCTGGGTAAATGCACTTGCTGGAGAGGAAATACTTACCTGGATAAGTGCACCTACTAATACTCTTTTATTCCCTAAGTAAAATTGTATAATGATTGGTTTATCCATAAAAGTGATATTATTGAAGGGACAATATTGTCCCATCACATTTTAACAAATTTCCACTCAAATGGGTAAATGATTTACCCAAGTCTCAGGACGATATTATTTGTCTAGGTTAATAAAATACTTTGAAATCATTCTTTTCCGTATAATCCACTAATACTAAAACACAAATGCAAGTTTACTTCTTTTCTATGGGATTCACCAAGTCTCAGGTGGCCTAAATACCTTAAATTCTATGAGAGCAACTTTTGACGAAAATGTCATTTTAATGTTTATTACAATTGAAACAACATATTCACCTTTTTGTCTATGCATACTTCATGGCACTTAGCCATTAGCAAATATTAATAAGGATATAAAATATGCACACAACATGGAGTTACTTTTGCGGTCATTGTTTAAAAAGCTGCAATGATGCCAAACATTACCATAGCTATTTTTTATTCATATTTCTTATGATGAGTTAAAGCACTCTTTCATGGCTCAAAAAATAATATTTTTTTTTGCAAAAAAATAAAACAAAAAACAATGCTTGCAAAGCGACAAAATGGATGATATTAAATAATGTACACGTTAATGAGCAGGGGAAAAATTTCTTTTTTTTTGACAAAATTGATTACACAAAATTAACCATTAGTAATCCCATTCTTTTTTTTATTATTATTACAGGAAGATGGAATAAAAAAGCAAGACATGAAAGAGGAGTCATGGCGTATTATTATATGAAGGTGTAAGTGGTGTGGTAAGGTGACGGAGGTTGGTCAAGTCTTCAAAGGTCTAGAGAGGATGACAATAAAGAGAGAGAACATGGAGAGGAATACTGGTTGTAGAGGACAATGGGAGAAGAGCAGAGAATGGATGATAAGAAAGAGAAAGGTTCCCTAACAGACTCTAGGATCAAAGTTATATGGTTCTCTCTGATGTGGGGAAGAGTTATTCCCCCATTTTATAGAGAGGGTCCCTAAGGCTATAAGGAGAAATCTAAAAGGATACATTTTCTATTAGGAAATGGTATCTTTATCTTTATATCGGCTATTAAGGGAACACCATTGGGATTTTTGCACATGTTCAACGAGATCCTTTAAGGATAGAGTTTCCCTTCTCCTAAGGATTCTCGGGTTGCGTATGTAGGCTACATCCCCTTATAAGTTTCCCTGTAGACACGTGTCAAGGGTAAGACTTGGATCTGACTAGTGTGCTCGGGTGTTCTGCTCGATCGCCTCTAAGGCACCTTGTCACAGCTAGTTGTGACCAAAAGCAATGCCAATCTCCCGTAGGCGGGTGTCACCGGCCTCAAGGTCTATCCTTTGTTCATTACAGTAGGAGTTGTCATTTCATGTTCATCGCAAGGTGCTAATAGTGCATTGGGCTCTTGCAATATCATT